TTGCTATTTTGCTAGGAAATGAGAAGATAGTTTTGGGATTTGCAATGGAAATTGGCTTTGTTAGTATATGCTGTTGTTTAATATGGCACAACAGCAGCTGCACAGGAGATTGTCAAAACTAAATAGCATGCCTTCACTTAGCTAAACAAGCATCTGCCTAACCCCAGTCTTGAGGATCACTTCCAAGGATGGAATGACAAAGCTGTTACTCAGATCTGACCCCAGCACATCATGTGACATATAAATGCCTGTGACGATAGACCGGTCTGTTGGGTTTTCACAGTGTTAGCCCGGCTACTGCAGTGTATAAAAACCAGGAGGGGCAATTGCTTGTTGCAGTTCCAGGCATTTAATAAGAGGAAAAGTCCTTGGTGCACAAATACAAAAAGGATTCTCCTATAGAAAAAGTGTTACTGAACTGTCTTCAGAAACGTCATTGCACAGCAGTGCAGTCTGCTGTATTTGTATTGATACGTCACAGTATGCTGTGATGTTTTGCTTTGGTGTTTTAGGAGAAAGGAGTTGCTTTTACATCATCTGAATATAGAAGGGCTGATGTTTAATAGCTTGTCTGTGTTGTAATCAGGAGATATATTTTGGTTTAATAATATCAATAAAATCTAAATCTCATCTACATTCTGTATTTCTTAAGGCTTCTCTTTGAAAGAAAAAAGAATTGGGGATTGATAATAAAATGTTATGTGGGCAAATTGCCTTCAATGAAAGATGGGAAAATGTTCTCTGCTGACAGACTTATACCAAAGAGTTTCAGGTGAGGTCTCTGGATAAAAAAGTATTTCAAATAGTTTTCTGTTGTCGTTCTTGGGCATCTGGCAGCACTGCGTAGCATTCTTTCAGACCTCTGTTTTAAGGAATCCCAAGAGGAAAGGTGACTTAGAGCTGGCAACAACTAACAAACAGGAAAATGTAATTATGAAAAAATACCATATAGATTTAAAGAAGTGGAATAGAGCTAATTAGGAAATAGGAACAAGAATACATGTACAGCAGAAGCTGCACTCCTAGCAGTGCAGCTGTGCTCAGAAGAGGGAGTTACATCTAGAACAGAGCAAGCCTGAGCTCTCTGAGGCTGTAGAGGACCACAGTGGAAAACCGCTTGTAATGTTTTAAAAATTAATTTGTTTCTCCCAGAAGGGGAACAAACAGCAATAATTCCACAGGTAGATTTACTGTGGATTAAAACTCTCATTTACTGTATGTCAGCACAAAGAACTGAAAGGATTCATTGCAGAAAAGTTTTCTTCAGATAGAGCACTTGATTTTTGTTCTCTGTTCTTTTCCTTGAAGATTGGCTTCTCAGCCAAGGCACTAAGGCAAGAGCAAAAACTGATTTATTAAGAAAAAGAAATCTCTGTCATTAATATTTACTGCCCTCCTGCCAGATACATCTCAAGGCAAAGTGTCGACAGGAGATAATGGTTGCTCTGTCAGATTATGCTGACGTAAAATTATACAACACAAAACTGAGCTTTGTGCTTCTATGACTAAGAAAAGCTTAAGTGCTTTAAACTTAATTTACAGCATTAAATGGCTTAAAAAGCCACACAATGTACCTTAAATACAGAAGTAATATTTGAATGAGTCAAGTGTAAGAATAACAGAATCAAATTCAAGAAACCTGAGAATTACAATAGTCGGTCAATGCACAGAGCAACTTTTATACACAAATCTCTATATTGTACTAGGAGCTGGTCTTGTGTTCCTGTGCGCTGTGAGCATAGATGAGTGCCCAGGATACAGTGCTTGGCTCTCCTTCCCAGCCCCTCGTAAGCTCCTGGCTGTCCTTTCCACTGTGTTTCAGTCACTGGCATAATACTTTGCTCCTGGCTCCGCGAAGCCCCTCCAGCAGCACCCCCTCTGCCTTCCTCCCGGGCACTCTTCAGAACACGAAACCACGTACCCGCATGCCGCTTTGTGCTGTCCACAGGCAATTGAAAACCCATTTCTCTTCCTTCAACATTCTTCTTAAGACTGTCTTGTTGCAAAGGCTGTAAAAGAAAAACTGTGGATTTGATGAAGCCGTTGCCATCACGCTGTTTGGGGTTCTCTCACTTGTGCCTTGCGCTCCAGCTCTGTGCATCTCGTCTGAAAAGCAGATTGTCAGCTACTGGAGGCAGAAACTGCCAGCTTCTGTGATAATGCAAATAAATAACCAAATCAGGAGCACTGCAGGCAGGTGAGCCCCAGGAACTGAGCTGCATCTACAGAAGGGCAGGGATGTAGACGGTTAAACTTCTATCAAGGAAGCAAAGAGATGTAAGGGCTCCGTCCAGTCTCTGCCCTGTGGACACTGGTGTGAGAAATCAGCGCTGAGAATTTACCGTGTTTTTTTCCCCCACAGGCTGGCCTGCAAGTGGTTTTTGCTCAACTGCAGCTGCTTGCACATGTGTTAGATGTAGATCAAGGCTGCGCTGTTAGCTGGAGAAACAGCCCTCTCGCTTCTTTGTGTTGCATAAAATGGTTGTGCAGTGCTCCTTAGGTCAAAGGTGGAAGAGCAGAGAGGCTGCCAAGCTATTCATGTTGCATCTATTTTGCCTGTTTAAAAGCAGATCATGACTTTCCAAGCAGCATCGCCACCTCTGCTGCCCTTGCTACCGCTGCTATATTCTACCTTGTTCTTTCCACGTGGGCATTCTTCCTTCCTTTCCCTTCCATCTGCATCCATGTCCTCAGGAGCAGAGAGGTAGTTCTTTACTGCAGGTCTCTGGAAGTTGCTGCTCGGTTTACAGGTAGTTGAACAATTAAGTGCTTTGGATCGCTGGCTTCTGTTTTAGCCCATGGTTTTCTCTGTTGGTGGGTGGTAAAGCATCTTCTGTCTATTTTGTTTAAGCTGCAGGAATCACTGAGGTGAGCTCTGTAGCCTGTGACCGTCTCATTTGTATTCACTGAGAAGCAGGACGCAGAGCTCTGCTTGATCTTTTTAATTGAGCACTCCTTTTTGGGCAAGTAGGGACAGTCAGGATGAGATCTCTGCACCCTGCACAGCTCACTCTGGGTATTGGAGCTTTGAGCTGAAATACATCATGAGGAGTCTGTGCCTCTCCACTTGCTGTTAGGATGAAATCTAAGGAGTGCCGTTTCTCTTGCAGGTATGTTGAATTGGCTTAACTGAATCATCTTTATTCACTTTTCCTAGCAAGTAGGAACCAAGTATTAATGAAAGGAGAAATGATGATAAATATTAGTGATAGTGAGAAGTGGTCCAAGTCCTAAGCAGCTTTCTGTCTGCACTGGAATGGGGTAGTAGAAGGTAGGTTCAGTAGTGAAAAAAATATTTTTTTTTCTTTTCTTATGCTATGCCAGTATAGGATTCACAAAGTTAGCTGTCTGAAGGAAAGATCAGGTGAGACTCTGACTGTATTCAACTCCATAGTTGAGACACGTCTCCAAATTTGTTTTTTGTCTGTGAGAAACAGCTGTAGTTTATCACATTATGTACCATAGTCAATATTTCTCTAGGAGTTTCCTGTACTCTTTAAAAAAGTTTTAAGTCAGTAAAGTCCTGATTCAGTAAAGTCCATGCTTGACAGCAGTGCTGCAGGCTTTTGGGGAGCTGAGTTTTGGGTAACTGCTTTTCAGTTTGGGACATACATACTATGAACCAGTAGCTTTCAGGAGTTGTTCAGTGCTCCAGTTTTGCTAAGAAGTGATGGATGTAGCCTCTTAGTCCTGCTTGTGACTCAGCCATAAGCCAGGTTTGCTGTTAAACACAGGCACTTTAGGTTTGTGAGTGATGAAGTGGTGAACTTTAAGAACTTCCTTGTTGGCAGCAGCTACATTGGCGTTTCAGATCTGACTTCTTAATTTGGTGATGGTGATTTTTAACTACCAAAGGGCTTGTGATCATTAGAGAGAATGTCCCGTACCAGTGTACAGACAGAAAAATACATCGTGTGATCATGCCAGTTACGCAGAACAGGAAACTGGTGGTGAACAGAGGTGAAGGAACTGCTGGTGTTTAGTCTGAAACGGCCGCGGGGCTCAGCAGGATGAAAGCACAGCTTATCCACGTCTGTCCAAGATAAAGCAATACTTTATACTTAATGTCGTTTGGCCAATCAGCCAGGAAGCACTGCATAAAATTTGTCATTGGTTCTTAAATGTAAGCAGTGATGAAATCCCTTCACAGAGAATGGATTTCTCTCGCTAATGGATTTTGCTGCCCCAAAGAATAATGACATTTAGTTCATTCATGCCCATGCTGTTGTGTCATCGCTAGAAAAACGCTGGAGGAAGGACTTTCTTTTGTCAAGTGTCTGGCATCCATAGACATTAATTTTAGGCAGCTGGATGATGGTTTTTGCATTTTGTGTATATTAACTGCTTACTCGCTAGGACTCAGCTTTTCATTCTCAGTGAGGAAGTGCTCTTGCATCTGGCTGAAGTTCCTTAAACAAACCATTAAGGAAACCTGACGTACTGCAGAATAGGCCAGTCTAACTGAATTGAAGAAGATGTCAACAAGTCTTTACGGCTGATCTTGGTGATCTTTCAGTATAGGGAAGAAAAGAGGACTGTTTTCTGTTACTTGGTAGAAATTTTGGGATTAGATGAGATCTAATGGATGAACCAGAACCATACATAAAAAGCACAACTTTCAGCCCACATCTAGAAGGTGACAGCACCTTTACCAGCTATTTTCATCAAGGTGCCAGGTTGAATAAAGGGCTTTACAGTGCAGGACAAATAAATGGATAATATTTATGGGATCTGGAAGGCTGTATTAATTTTCTGGATAAACTGTTTGTGTTAAAGCAAAATCTATTTTTCATAATTATTCCTGTTCTTCTGAGCAAAATTTTAAAACAAAGCAAATTTTGATACCTATGAGTTGTTCTGATGTTTCTGATGAGGAAAAATCATCTTCTTCTAATCCTGGTACTAAGGAATGAGTAGTGACCATGAAAACCATTACTACGTGTGTTGCATTTGGTGTTAAACTGATAATTTCTTAAACTGTCTTTCTGTTTTATTTCTAGGCCTCTTCCTTATCTTAGGCTTGATACTTTACCCTGCAGGTTGGGGATGCCAGAAGGCAATAAGCTATTGTGGACATTATGCTTCCGCTTACAAACTAGGAGACTGCTCCTTGGGCTGGGCTTTCTACACAGCTATTGGTGGCACTATTCTGACCTTCATCTGTGCAGTCTTCTCGGCGCAGGCTGAAATAGCCACATCCAGTGACAAAGTGCAAGAAGAAATAGAAGAAGGAAAAAACCTTATCTGCCTCCTTTAACTCCAGTGGGGAAAAACACCAGCGCCTGGATCTTATATCTGCTTTCCATTGACTGGACAAGCAGATCTGCTTACCTGTTTCTACCATTTGTGTGATTGAGCCCCAGGCATTGCAGCCCCGAACTACTGAAACGGTCTTCCTTCCTTGCTGGGCAATGAGGATCAGACAAAGGATCCTAAAAAAGCAGAATGTAAATACATGGGGATTTTTTTTTTAGCTTCATTTTATGATCAGGACACAGTGGAATATATTAATCTGACCAGGGAGGTGAGGAATCGTGTATATAGCAGGAACCAACAAATTCTGGTTGATTGGATAGGCTTACCCACTTTGGTCACTTTGAAGAATTTCGATTTAAAATAATAAAAGCCAGCACGTTGTGGTTTTTTTTTTTCCTTAATCAAAAGAGAAGCCTATTTTAATTAGGCTTTGTTTCCAAGGGCTCCCCTCACCTGTGGATCTTTCACCACCACCTGGTTTGGTACCATACTTTTCACTGAGGTGCTTTTTGATACTGAACTTCCTTTAAAGTACAGTGCCTTCTCGGATAGTAAGTGTATGTTGGAGAGAGCAAGGTTGACTTACTGCCATTTACACCAATCTTTAAGCATGTAAAAAGTCGAGTCCCTGCCAGGTTTCTTTGTCTTGAAACTTACAGTACAAGGTGTGTGCCACTCATTACTTAGCAGGCAAATGATTTTGTTTCCATTGACTAGACAGAGAAGCTGTTGTTACACTGGCTTTCACCTGATTCTGATAAAATTGTTTGAAATAACCACTGTTAGAAATACTTCTACAGGCTTTATTAAAACTCCTGAAATCCCAAGCAGATGACAACTCCCTGCAGCACAGCTGGGCATTACCTTGTGAATGCCAACAGCCTGGCCTGGGCTGTAGCCTCTGCCATGCACGTAGATCGCACATTTCACTTGAGCAGTATTATTCATTCTTCTGCAGTGAAACCTCATTCCTAGTCTACAGAGCAGTCAGTCTCATGACCCAGAGCCACATGAGTTCTTAAGAAATTTACATTTTTCAGGGAGTCTTGCCAAATTCTACATGGCTGAGAAGATCTTTTCTCTTTTTTTTTTTTAACCACATGTAGTATGGACCCTTTTCCAACTAAATCAGCAGAAATAAAACAGACTTTGCCACAAATGACATTCCTTTCTCAAAGGCAGCTGGTTGTATTACACGTGGTGTTGCATCACTTACTAGAACTGCTTCCAAAAACATATTTAAAAGGTATTTTAAAAAACAAAGGAATGATGCAACTGTGCCATAGGAGCGCTGGGCAAAATTCATCTGAGTAGTAGCTCTAGTGATATACTAAGTGAATTTTAGACTCCTGTTCCTACTTCTTGGTAGTTTAACATCATCCAATGACAGTGTTGCTCTTCATCACCTCACTGTGTAATACGGAGCAGAGATCCTTGTTTACGCCTGGTCGGTCCCTTAAAGTGTGCCATTAGTATTTATACATATTAAAAAATTGTTGTTACTGTACAGGTGGACAGCTAATTTCAATACTTTGCTCAAGTCCTTCACAAAGCAAGAGCTGTTGAGCAGTCACGCCCGCAAGCCCAGGGCCAGCTGCGAGCACGGGTGGACGCTCGCAGTGGCGTTGTTGGAGGATCCCTCCAGTGCCTGCTGAGCAGCACAGACACTGCCTCGGCCAGCCCATCCGTGGAGCAAACCAGGCCCAGCTCCCTGCCTGCACGTGTCCGTGCCCAGTGCACCTCCGAGCCACCTGCCAGGTGGCTACGGAGGTGATCTCCAAGCCACTGTGTAAAAAAGGAAGTCAACTTATGTCAGTATTAAAAAGGGATTGTTGTAATCTAGCCTCTTCTTTCATTCATCTGCTCCTGCAGCCCACGTCCACTGTACTGTAGTTTAAAACATGCAATTCACTTTTCTTTTAAATATTTTATTTAAAAAAACAAAAGTCAAAGTCTGGAACCATTTCTGCCAACTTCTTGCACAAAGCAAGATTTTAACAAACCAAAATTACTAGCACAAAGTGGTGTCTGAGGGCAGAAGTCACAGCCAGCACGTCCAGTCCACACTTGCATCTCCCATACACACAAATATACCATCCGAAGGGCACGCACTTGGCCTGTACCTCAGGGCTGCTCAAACCCTCCTCCCGATGTTCCTCCTGAGCCCCCAGCTGGAGTCTGTGCCACGGAGGTGGGGCCACCAGCTCAGCTGTGCTTGTGTGGGCGCTGAAAGTGGAAAAGGAGGGGATAGGAAGAGTAAGAGTAGCCTAGAATAAAACAGCTACAAATTAATTACAAAATAGATTTACGATTTTAGCTTTTCTTAGGTGGGTAGCAGTCCAGCGTCCACATCGCCACTGACAGCAAATCTGGTGGACGCTAGTACTAGAGTGACAAACGTTGCTTTGGCTCGAGCACTAGATTAGTCGAAATAAGGTCAGTTCTTCCAAAAGGTAGAGGGCTTATACTGCTTTGGCTTAGAAGTAGAGAGTGACCAACCTGCTTTTACGTGACTAGCTGGCCTCTGCCGTGATCTACAGAATGCTTAAAAATTGTTAATGGTGCAGTTAAGTACAAAGGAGGTATTTTCAGTGGCATGTTTTGCTTTTGTTTGCCTTTGTAACCAAGACGAACCAGCTTTCCTGCTTGTTGCTGGTCTACTATCAACTTGCTCTGCAACAACGTAATCAACTAACTTGCAAGAATATCCATGTTCATCACATAGCACAGATAGAAGACAGGCTGGGAAGGAATACAGAAAACGAAAATAATCAGAATTTCTTTTCTCAGGGTTCTGTTTTTCTAGCAAGTGAGAAGATGGTATATTTACTGCAGATTTTTTTTTTCTGGATGAGGTTTTCAGGTGTAGGGTGTACTCATTAAATTTGACAGCTATTTAAAGTTGTTCCTGAAGTTCACCTCAGCAGTAGCTTTCAAAGGTATTTGGAGGGGGGGGGGGGGGGGGGGAAAAAAAAAGAAAAAAAAAAAGAAAAAAAAAAGAAATCAGCTTAAAGCTAATTTAATTAACTTCATAAGGGGGATGCGAAGTGTAACTGCTTCTTAATGTACATGCACTGCATAGGATCTAGAAGAATTTGCTGTGGATTCTTTCAAACCTGTGTGCCAATTAGTTCAGTTTCACTTTGTTTTTGTGGTATTGAAGAATTCTTCAAACATCTGTGGTTTGATCAACTTTGTAAACTTATAGTCTGTAAAGTGCCATAGACCTTTTAAAAAAAAAAAATTGTAGCATATTTAAAAAAAAATATATATATATACACAAACTTGTGTGAGATGTGCAATACCAGGAATGGGTTTCGTTGTTTGTTTTTTTTTCCTCAGTTTTGCTTTTAAACAAGGTAATTTGAAAAGGGACTTCCCAGGGAAGAGAAGTGGCTGGAGTTTAGGTGGTGTGGACAAACTAAAGCATAGCGTAACGCAATAGAAATTGCTGATTTTGAAGATGAATACAGCAGTAGTAACAGCAGCTTAAAGAGTTAACAGAAGTCTTCTAGATTGAGTTGAAATACTCAGCTCTATATAATACAGACGATTCAAACGTAGCTGTGTCCATCTCTGGCAATACTCAATCTGAAAAGGCTCAGCAAGGTTTCTTCGTGTGCTTTATTTATAACGCAGCACTGCAAATAACGCTGCTACTGAGCCATTTCCGGGTTGTCTGTGTCACCTTTGTATCTGTTTTACTCAGTGAAGTTCCCTGGATTCCGAGGTTGTTTTTCAGCCGAATCATTTCCACTTTGCATTGTTACCCCACATCAGATGGAATATCTCACGTCCTAGTGGTCAACAGAGAGGAGCTCAAGCCTGCCTTGAAAGCAGTGGGCACTGGTGCCTACCTCAAGGAACGGACAGAGCCCAACAAAAGCAGAGCATGGCAGCAACGCATACACCACAGCTGCTTTGTACAGGAGGAACAGCTGTGGCAATCCAGCTGGAGCAGATTTTGAGCCATGGTTTATTTGTGGTACTGTTTTTCTGTTCTTGCGTCACCACTATGTACGTTTGTTAGCATGAACAATGTACCTAATGTGTTATTTTTAATCTAAATTTCAATTAAAACGTGAGTTTTCAAACTTTTAACAGGAGTGTGACTACCTTAATTGAAACGTATTGGACAAGGTGAGCCACAGCAAGGTAGCTTTTATTGTAGTTCTCATAGCATTAAAGATCCCTGCCCATTGATGATGACGTTAGCGTTACAGATTTCTGCCTGACTTCAACAATTATTACCACTTACTGATCAAAAAGTACGTGATCTGAAATTGTAGCTATGTGTTATACAATACAGTTGCATTAAAGAGACTTTCTAATTGAACGTATGTCTGACAAATGTTTTTCATTTTGCAACTAAGGCACTCCAGTTCCTTCCTCACGAACAGGGGCAGTGAAGGTTATAAAACAAATACTGCTTCATCACACAGGCTTTTAAAATGGTGTTTGCCACAATGTGCATTACCTTTCACCTGTGACTTGACAAACACTAGAGGGAGGTCACAAAATGTTCTCTAAGCAAATTTACGGCAGAAATAGGAATAAGGCTTTTAGTAGTTTAAAGAAAAGTCACAATCTTGCTTTTGTCTCATAGCTGCTGTGGTCTATTTCTATTGAATTTACACATAATTAATTGCATTTAGTTTAATTACACTGCTAACAGTTTCTAAACTTCCCAGAAGAGGCTTTTTTGGTTAAAACATAACATTTAGAAATCCACAGTCCAGATTAGAACTGGAATTCCCTAATTCCAGTTAGAGAATAGGTGCCAGTCTGTGCACCACCACATTAGTGATCTTTATGGATTTCAAAGCAGGTATAGATACAGCAGTCACTCTGCAAATACAAAATACTGTCAAAAGAAATTACAAAGTACTGATTTGTAGAGCTAAAGATATTACCTCCCTTTTTCAGTAAGGTTAATGGAATTGGCAATAGGGAACGCAGATCTCAATTCTCTGAGTGAATTATGACAGATTTCTGTGTTCTTGTAACTTCATCCCCAAGCTCCAGCTAGGTTTAGAATGGTGGTGCAATGAGAAAGAGAATGTGTGTTACTAATATCAGAGGGACAGGAATATGAAGATGATGTCTTGCTCCTGTGATTCCCTGACAGCTTGCTTTCCAATAGATGTCTTTTTGATTTCATTTGCAGTATCTTCATACAAGTGAAATTCTGAGCGTGATGACCAGCTTTAGGTATCACTCAGGTGCAGTGGCATCAGTAATTTGGTCTGGCTGACAAAGGTAAAGAAAAAGCAATTCCAAATTTAATGACATTATCCTGACCACTTCCAGTTGCTCTCGTTCCTTGGACAAAAAGTATCACCCCACTG